ATGTTGTACTGATGTTGTACTGATGTTGTACTCATGTTGTACTCATGTTGTACTGATGTTGTACTGATGTGGAGATAACCAGTCAGGTGATGCTTACTGCCAGGTGGGGTGAAGTATTACGTGGACCCGTCCACTTACGAGGACCCCGGTGAGGCAGTCAGAGAGTTTGCCCGTGAAGTTGACCCTGCTCACCTTAAAGTGGAGGATGTGATTGGACCAGGTGACTGCTGCTTTTTACCTCCATGTTAATGCCCCTTTTTCATAATCAGCAACACATTAACCCCCCCCCCACCCCCTCCACTCCTCTGCTTCACAGCTCACTTCGGTGAGGTTTCTCGCGGCCGTTACCGTCCGCTGGGCCGCAGGGAGGTGCTGGTGGCTGTGAAGACCCTTCGCTGGGGGGCGTCGGACAGGGAGAGGGGCGTGTTCCTGAGTGAGGCTGGGGTGCTGGGGCAGTTCGACCACCCCAATGTGTTAAAGCTGGAGGGCGTCGTCACTCAAACCGCCCCCGTGAGAATCATAACTGAGTTTATGGAGAACGGACCGCTGGACGCCTTCCTCCGGGTCAGAGCAGGCCGTGGTCTCCACGGCGACGCTCCAGTGGAGACACTTCTACATCAGGTGGTTTGAATTCTCTACAGTCGTTTCACTGCTCTGTTGATCTTCCAGGACAACGAGGGGCAGTTCAGCGTCCTCCAGACGGTGGGGATGCTGCGGGGCATTTGCGGCGGTATGTGGTACCTCTCAGAGAGAAACTTCGTTCACCGGGATCTGGCGGCCAGGAACATACTGGTCAACTCCAACCTGGTGTGTAAGGTGTCCGACTTCGGCCTGTCTAGACTGATGAGGGGCGTGGACCACAACATGCCCACGTACACAGCTTCACTGGTCGGTGCTGACGTACAGACTTGTGTGTTCTTTGGTTCTGTGTCTGTCTGGTTCTAAAACATTGGTCATGGTCCTGTACCAGGGCAGTAAGGTTCCTGTGAGGTGGACCGCACCAGAAGCTTTTCAGCACCGCAAGTTCAGCTCCGCCAGTGACGTCTGGAGCTTTGGAGTCCTGATGTGGGAGGTCATGTCGTACGGAGAACGCCCGTACTGGGACATGAGCAACCAGGAAGTGAGTATGAGCAGAGGGGGTGAGGGGGTGAGGGGGTGAGGTGAGGAGGAGATCCTCTGGAGTCTTCACGGCTTCATTTTTATAGTTTTAACAACCAAGAGAAATAAATTTCACTTTGTTAAAATGCATTTTCATATTTTTGGGCATCAGCATTTAATTGAAGTTTTATCTCCCCCTCCCCCTCCCCTCCCCCCTCCTCTCTCCCCTCACCTTCCTTTTCTCCAGGTAATGAAGGCAGTTGCAGACCAGTACCGTCTCCCTGCCCCACACAGCTGCCCCCCTGCCCTCCACTCTCTGATGCTGCAGTGCTGGCAGGCCGACCGAGGAGACCGACCCGGCTTTGACGGCGTCCTGTCGTCGTTGGACCGCCTCATAAGACACCCCGCCTCCCTGAAGACCGAGCCGTCACGGTGAGACAGCAGACAGTCTGTACGGGGGGACAGTGGGTTGTGGTCTTGCCTTATTTCTCAGTTTTTTCTTTGGCGTCTCTTTGTAATATTATATATATGAAATATTCACTCCTTAATGACCACAGGTGTGAATGGAGGTGTGAATTATTGTTATTACTTGTGCTGAATCCCCTCCCTCGACCCAATGACTGACTGGATTGACCCCCCCCTCGA